TGACTGACACCCCTGGCTTCGGGGACCAGATCAACAACGACAAGTGGTGGGTTGTATGGGGTGAGGCTGAGCCCGCTTGCCCTGCCCCGCCCCCCCCTCCAGCCTCTGGGAGACATCCCAGCCCTGGAACAACCTGGCTGTGGTTTCCTTGAGCCTCGGTTTATTGGTCTATATAATGAGTACACAACTCTGCCTTCAAGGTTGAAGGGAGTCGCTGTGTAAAGGTTTTAGCCTCTGCCTGGCACACAGTAAGAGCTCGGTAAAGGTTATGATGTAGCAGGGCCTAGAAGTCCACACTCCAGAGTCCGGGCCACTGGGTTAAACCACTTTCTAGCTGCACAACCTGAGACCAGTAACAGAAGCTCTCTGAGCCTTGGTTTCCTTCTCTGTGACTTGGGAATGATGACACCCACCTTGCAGAGTTGTTCAAGGCTCTAAATGAGACACACACATGCACACACACACACAATCGGGACTGGCTGCATAATTTGTGGGACCCAGTGTGATGAAAACGTGAGGTCCCTTGTTCAAAAATTATCAAGAATTGTAAGACCACAAAGGCAGAACATTCAGCTAAGCACAGGCCCTTCTAAGTATGGAGCCCTGGGCTCCATTCACACTCCTGTGAAGCTGGACCTGCACCAGATGCTTTATTGAGCATTTACTATGTGCAAGCTCTGTTCTAGAACAGATGTAGGCAATTCCATGTAGGTAATAAACAAAAGAGAGGAACATCCTTGCCTACATGGAATTTACATTGTCACAGGGGTGAGGGACCGACAATGAACAAAATAATCAGCTATACGGAGTGTGAGCCTGAACTCTTATCATCCAAACAGGACATTTCTGAGAGTGAAAGGGGTACGGAGCTGTAGGGTTTGCAATTTTAAGCAGAGTGATCAAGAAAGACCTACCGGAAAAAGGTGACATTGGGCACAGACTTCCAGGAGATGAGAGAATGAGCCATGTGGACAAGGGGAAGGAGTGTTCGAGGCTGAGGGTGGCATGTGCAAAGGTCCTGAGGTAGGCAGGCGGGTGTGGCTGGCAGGGCAGGAGCAATAGGGAGAGGAGGAGGAGAGGGCAGGCAGGAAGCAGTGGGAGGGGAGGGAGTATAGGGCGTTGTAGGGCCCCGTAAGGACTGGGGCTTTTGTTCAGTCCCTGGAGGCTGAGCAGAAAAGGACATCATGATCTAGCTCCTGCTTTCGGAAGGATCTTCTTGACTGCTGTTGACCACAGCCCACAGAGGGAAGGGGCCCCTGGAGAGGAGCCAGGAAATGTTTCCACAGTCAGGTGGAAGTCCACGGTGGCTTGAATCAGGCCAGCGGCAATTTCTCTTGCTTAATGCTCACTCCACCCCACACGAGATGTACTTCTTGCCCCCATTTTATAGACAAGAAGGTGATGCCTCCGCTCAGAACGGCAGGGAGCGTCTCTGATAATGCGGGGGCGCNTTGTTCAGTCCCTGGAGGCTGAGCAGAAAAGGACATCATGATCTAGCTCCTGCTTTCGGAAGGATCTTCTTGACTGCTGTTGACCACAGCCCACAGAGGGAAGGGGCCCCTGGAGAGGAGCCAGGAAATGTTTCCACAGTCAGGTGGAAGTCCACGGTGGCTTGAATCAGGCCAGCGGCAATTTCTCTTGCTTAATGCTCACTCCACCCCACACGAGATGTACTTCTTGCCCCCATTTTATAGACAAGAAGGTGATGCCTCCGCTCAGAACGGCAGGGAGCATCTCTGATAATGCGGGGGCGCGGNCTCCGCTCAGAACGGCAGGGAGCGTCTCTGATAATGCGGGGGCGCGGGGGGGGCATACTTGAGCACCCAAATACCTCAAGTTGTGCAAGACTGAAGGTCCTGTGTCCTGGGCGAACAGGTTAACTGGTCATCTGCAGGGGCGACCAAAGGACCTAGGGAGACAGCTGGTGCTCCCGGGCACAGTCCTGAGGTCAGGCCCATCTCCCACTCCAGCTGGGACCCCATCCTGGGCTACATCAATGGACAGTATNAGGCAGAACATTCAGCTAAGCACAGGCCCTTCTAAGTATGGAGCCCTGGGCTCCATTCACACTCCTGTGAAGCTGGACCTGCACCAGATGCTTTATTGAGCATTTACTATGTGCAAGCTCTGTTCTAGAACAGATGTAGGCAATTCCATGTAGGTAATAAACAAAAGAGAGGAACATCCTTGCCTACATGGAATTTACATTGTCACAGGGGTGAGGGACCGACAATGAACAAAATAATCAGCTATACAGAGTGTGAGCCTGAACTCTTATCATCCAAACAGGACATTTCTGAGAGTGAAAGGGGTACGGAGCTGTAGGGTTTGCAATTTTAAGCAGAGTGATCAAGAAAGACCTACCGGAAAAAGGTGACATTGGGCACAGACTTCCAGGAGATGAGAGAATGAGCCATGTGGACAAGGGGAAGGAGTGTTCGAGGCTGAGGGTGGCATGTGCAAAGGTCCTGAGGTAGGCAGGCAGGTGTGGCTGGCAGGGCAGGAGCAATAGGGAGAGGAGGAGGAGAGGGCAGGCAGGAAGCAGTGGGAGGGGAGGGAGTATAGGGCGTTGTAGGGCCCCGTAAGGACTGGGGCTTTTGTTCAGTCCCTGGAGGCTGAGCAGAAAAGGACATCATGATCTAGCTCCTGCTTTCGGAAGGATCTTCTTGACTGCTGTTGACCACAGCCCACAGAGGGAAGGGGCCCCTGGAGAGGAGCCAGGAAATGTTTCCACAGTCAGGTGGAAGTCCACAGTGGCTTGAATCAGGCCAGCGGCAATTTCTCTTGCTTAATGCTCACTCCACCCCACACGAGATGTACTTCTTGCCCCCATTTTATAGACAAGAAGGTGATGCCTCCGCTCAGAACGGCAGGGAGCATCTCTGATAATGCGGGGGCGCGGGGGGGGGGCATACTTGAGCACCCAAATACCTCAAGTTGTGCAAGACTGAAGGTCCTGTGTCCTGGGCGAACAGGTTAACTGGTCATCTGCAGGGGCGACCAAAGGACCTAGGGAGACAGCTGGTGCTCCCGGGCACAGTCCTGAGGTCAGGCCCATCTCCCACTCCAGCTGGGACCCCATCCTGGGCTACATCAATGGACAGTACGAACAGTACCTGCAGGAGGAGATCCTCATCACCCGCCAGCGCCACATCCCGGACTCCCGGGTGCACTGCTGTGTGTACTTTGTGCCACCCACCGGACACTGGTGAGGGGCTGGGCCGCCCGGGCGGGGGGGGGTTCCCGGGCCTGCTGTGGGCGCCACCCCTCCACTCACACGCTTGCTGCTGCCCCTGCGGCCGCCGCTGTCCCGCCTGAGCAGCCTGCGGCCCCTGGACATTGAGTTCCTGCAGCGGCTCTGCCGGACGGTGAACGTGGTGCCCGTGATCGCCCGGGCGGACAGCCTGACCATGGACGAGCGGGAGAGCTTCAGGCGCAGGGTGATCTGGGCGCCTGGGGCGGCCGCGGCTGGTGGGCTGGAAGGGGGCAGAGCGCGTCGGGGGAGCTGAGGTTACTGCATGTGGCCCCCAGATCCAGCACAACCTGAAGACTCACTGCATCGATGTGTACCCACAGACGTGCTTCGATGAGGACATCAATGACAGGATCCTCAACAGCAAGATCCGGGTAGGAGGCTGCGGGGGGCAGGGAGGCTAGTGGGACAAAGACAGAGTGACTTCCTTCCCGCTCATTCTTTCCATCTGAAGATTACAACTAGGAGAAAGGTCATATGTTTCTCGCAGGTATGAATAGCAACAACTCCCAGGATAAGAGAAAATGTTTGCAAATGCCGTACCTGATAAGGGACTTGTATCCTGATTATATAAAGATCTCTCACAAATCAGCAATAAAAGACAACCTAATTTAAGAATGGGCAAAGGATCTTGAATAGACATTTTCCCGAATAATTTATACGAATGGCCAATGAGCATATGAAAAGATGGGTGGACATAATTAGACACAAGGGAAATGCAAGTCATTTCACACCCACTAGGATGGCTATTATCCAACTGACAGACAATAACAAGTGCTGGTAAGGATGCAGCAAAATTGAAATTTTGCACACACTGCTGGTAGGAATGTCAAGTGGGTACAGTCCCTTTGAAAAACAGTCTGACAGTTTTTCAGGAGCTTAAACACTGCTCTGGCCTGTGTGGCTCAGTTGGTGGAGCATCATCCGAGGCACCAGGAGGTCGCTGGTTCAATTCCCAGTCAGGGCACACGCCCGGGCTGTGGGCTCGATTTCCAGAAGGGGGTGTGCAAGAGGCAGCCCATTGATGTTTCTCTTTCTCCCTCTCCCTAAAATCTCCTCTAAAATTGATGTTTCTCTCTCTCTGTTTCCCCCTCTCCCTGAAATCTCTCCCTAAAATCAATAAAAAAAAATATTTTTTAAAAGGTTAAACACTAAGTACCATGTGACTCAGTAATTTCTCTCCCAAAAGAAATGAAAACCTCTGTCCACATAAAAACTTGCACACGAGTGTTCGTAGTAGAATTATTTATAATAGCCCAAAAGTGGAAACAATCCAAATGTCCATTAACTTGTGAATGGATAAACAAATGTGGTCTATCCACACAATGGAATATTATGGCCATAAAAAGGAATGAAGTTCTGATCGACATGGATACACCCTGAAAACATGATGCTCAGTGAAAGAAGCCAGACACAAAAGGCCACAGGTTGAATGATTCCATTATACAAAATGTCCAGAAATCTATAGAGACAGAAAGTAGATTAGTGTTTGCCAGGGGCTAGGGGTCAGGGTGAACAGGGAGTGACTGCTAAAGAGTAGAGGGTTTCTTTTGGGGGTGATAGAAATTCTTTGAAATTAGGTCATCGTAATGCACATCTGTACCTGGAAGCCCTGCTTCCCATCGGGCATCCAATTCTCTACACTTGCACAATCTTGTGAATATACTAAAAACCACTGGGCTGCACCTTCCAAAGGGTGAAATTTCCAGTATGTGGTTATATCTCAATTATTTTCAGTATGTGATTATATCTCAACAGCCTGGCCACAGCCAAAACAGAGCTAGAAGGACTACTTGGAGCACCCTATTAAATTAATAGCTCAATAAATATCTCAAAATAATATTTTGAGATATTAAATTAATATCTCAAAAGGAAAGAGGAAAATAGCTCATGCCTTCATTTTCTCTGAATTAACTGAATTCCAACTCCAAGCCCCACGCCGCTATCCTGATGGCGCAGTCAGTGTCAGTGCACTGGAGCCAGCCAAGCCGCTGGCTGAGGCCTGGGTGCATCATCCATAGACCCAGACCTCAGCTCCCTCCCTGAGGGGCCCTGCTAGCCCCCCCAGCTCTTTTGCTTGGATGGGAAAAAGGCGACAGCTTCCTTCACAGTTGGGGGCCTACCCTTGATTTCAGCCCTATGTGGCCTCAGGATCAGTTGCCCTTGGGCACTGCACAAACTGCACATCTGTACGTGGAGGCCCTTCTTCCCATCGGGCATCCGATTCTCTCTGCTTTCCTCCTTTCCCTCCTCCCTGAAGCAATGAACAGGATTTCCCAGGAAAGTTTCAAAGCACTCCACCCTCACCAACTCTGCATTCTGCCCTGAGGCGGGCAGAAAACAGCCTGGCCACAGCCAGAACAGAGCTAGAGGGACTACTTGGAGCACCCTATTAAATTAATATCTCAATAAATCGTCCAACATAACATTTATTGAGGGTTTAGTTACTACCAGCTGGGGCATAATAAGTGTCCCACAAATGGTTGTTATTATTAGCATCAATATTATTCCCCATTACAAATCAATTCTAGAAATAAAAACAAACCCATATACAGCACTTTGGAGTTTACAAGTTTGAATCTCCGCTTCCGGCCAGGAGCAAGTAAACAACTAGAATTTAGTACAGGGCTAGCAAACATTTTCATGACAGGCCGGACGATGGTAAATATGTATTTTAGACTGTGTGGGCCAAACGGTCTCTCGCAATTACTCAACTCTGCTGTGGTAGCATGAAAGCCACATAGACAACAGGAACTGAATGGACAGGGCTGTGTTAAACTTCGTAGAGGAAACCGGGAGGTGGGCCGCGTTGGCCTGTGAGCCATGGGTGTCCACCCTGGTTTACAAAGTTACCATGGTAACCGTTGAACGCGATCACTGTTCATATTTCATAGGTCAGGTAAGAGACTGACGTTAGCAGTATCTTAGTAACGTGGCTGTTAATAAGGACACAGTTCAAGGGATACTCTGTTAACCCTTAAAAATGCTAAGCACTTCTCAAGCATTCACAAAGCTCTATGTCAGTTCTGTTAAGACTTTCACGCTACAGATGAGAAAACTGAGGCACTGATTCAACTTCGCATCTTCTAACTCATTAGATATCTCATGCTCCTTCTACCACTTTCTTTCCCCACAAAGGACAGTGCCCCCCACCCCACCTTGGGATCTTCTCTCTCCACATGCCTGGCTAGGCCAACCTTCTGGTCTTGTCCCCTCCCCGAAGGAGCGGATCCCCTTTGCTGTGGTCGGGGCTGACCAAGAGCACCTGGTGAACGGGAGGTGTGTGTTGGGCAGGAAGACGAAGTGGGGCATCATTGAAGGTCAGTGCACGCGTTTGGGAAGGACACAGGTGAGAATGGGTGGAAGCCAGGGCACAGCCTATTGCCTTTGGGATCCTTAGCACCCATCTCAGCGCCCCAGTGGTTAAGCCCACAGCCAGGGAACAGACAGACCTGGGATCAAGCTCCTCTTTGCAGCTGGGAGGCCTCGGGCAATTTACTGACTCTCTGGACCTCAGTTTCCTCACAGCAAAATGGGCATGATGGTAACATTAATCTCATAGGGTGGTTGGAGGGGGCAGAACCACCACTTCAGACAGTGCCCGGCACCCAGGAGGTGCCCTATTTGTGCATCAGAATTTATTGAGGTCCTATTATGTACCAGGCATACTATGTGCTGTTCCTAAGGGGGAGACAGGGAAAATAGGACCAACAGGGTCCCTGTCCCTGTCCCCATAGAGCTAGAGAAATGACAACAGGTGGGAGAAGCATGATGAAGGAAATATGTGCGGTGGGAGCAGGGGGCTACCTCAGGTTNTAAGGGGGAGACAGGGAAAATAGGACCAACAGGGTCCCTGTCCCTGTCCCCATAGAGCTAGAGAAATGACAACAGGTGGGAGAAGCATGATGAAGGAAATATGTGCAGTGGGAGTGGGGGCTACCTCAGGTTGCAGAGGATGGCCTGGCTGAGGGAAAGACTAGCAGGTAAAAGAGCAACAGTCAGAGCCTGAGCCCTGATTTATCAATATAATTATTAAAAGTAGAATATATGTTATTCTTATATATATACTATAATATATATTATACCATATATCATATAATGTATGTTATACCATATATACCATATGTATATATTATATGATATACGGTATAATATACATAAGATAATATAGTCATTATTAAGTATATAATAATAAATGACCAGTGGATTCATCGGTTTAACAACTATTTGTAGGAGCCACCTGTACCAGGCACTGGAGACACAGCAATGAGTGAATGAATGAGTGAATGAATGAGTGAATGAGTGAATGAATGAATAAATGAATGAAGAACGGGAGGTGGGATAAGAGTGAGAAGTGTGGGGAAGGGTGCTGGTGGGTACCAGGTGTTGGGCAGCATAGAGTGGGCACTCCCTCCGACTGTGTCCTGTCTTGCAGTGGAGAACATGGCACACTGCGAGTTCCCCCTCCTGAGAGACCTGCTCATCCGGTGAGGGTGCGGGGCCCAGGGGCTTCGGTGGGTCCGGGGGTTGGAGCGGCCAGCTCAGACTGCCCTGCCACCCATCTCCCAGCTCCCACCTCCAAGACCTGAAGGACATCACCCACAATGTCCACTATGAGAACTACCGCGTCTGCAGGCTCAACGAAAGCCACATGCTGCCCCGCGGGCCTGGCTGGGTGAACCTGGCCCCGACCACCGCCGGCCCCCCGGCAACCCCTGGGCCCTGGAAGGCTCGCCGACGGGCCCGCGACAATTCCTCAGACGAGTGCTGAGCACAGCCACGCCCTCGGCCACTGGGGTTCCCCAAGTGCTCAGCAGCCCCTCCAACACACGCCTATGTACTAGAGCATGTATTAAAGGTGGACATTGCTTTTTATGAAAAGCTGTGCTTTGAAAACAAAAGGAGTTTCATAAATGACTTCTTTGAGATATCCTCAATTAAAGAATGGGGTTTTTTTTAAGTAAGAGCATGAAACCCCAGGCCCTGGGGAGTTATGAAGATCTGGGAAGGAGTGCCTTGATGACCAGCCCCTTCTGCCCCAGAACCAGGGTCAAGTTCCAAATCAGACTCTGCCCTCCATCCTGACCCTCCCTTGGGCCAGGGCCTGGCCCGTGGTGCCATAAGCACTCCCATCTTTTACCATCTTCCCCAACTCTGTTCCCTGCCCCTGCCTTCCTGCCCTGCCCTGGCCGACCAGCACTGTGAGAAACAGCTCCAACTTCGGAGTCTGACAAAGCTGATGTGAAATCCCCGCGCTGCCACATGACCTTCAGCAAGTCACTCTTCCTGGGCCTCAGTTTCCTCATCTATAAAAGGGAATGGTAGCATCGCTCTTCTAGTGTTGTTGTGTGGAGCAATTTGTGTAACATGCCCGCCATGGCCTGCAAAAGGCTTTCAGACAGAGGTGAGGGGAACAGGAGAGAGCTTGGTTGGGGGTGAAGGCTGTGCCTACAGAATGTGTGAGCACTTCCCAGGACTTTCCAGAACGCTTAAAAATAAAGGGACTTCATAAAAGCCCACCTGGTTGGGGCCTGAAGCTCAGTTAGTTTGGTTAACAAAAGGACAGGTGACTCCTAAAATCCAGGAAGGAACACCCAAGCCCCTGTAGGGAGAAAGCATGTGGTGAGCATCCAGTAAGTGACAATGTGTGTATCAGGGTCCTCCAGAAAACAGACCTAGGCTTTCTGATGTCCGAGGGCAGCAGATGGATGTCTCAGCTCAAGCAGAGAGAGAGAATTTCCTCTTCCTTGGCCTTTTTGTCCTGTTCGGGACCTCAGTGGACTCACTGAATTATACCCACCCGCACCGGGGAGGTGATCCTCTTTACTGAGTTTACTGAATCAACCGATACACCCAGAAATCATGTTTACCAGCCATCTGGTCATCCTTTGGCCCAGGCAAGTTGACACAAAATTGACCATCATACCAGCTAACAGTTTCCTTTTAATTGAATTTATTGGAGTGACAACGGTTAAAGAAATTATATAGGTTTCAGGTGACACCATCTAAAAGTTACCTCCTCCATGAACCCCTCCTTGACTTCCCCAGGCCGATGTACTCGCTGCCCACTCTGTGCATGTATCACGTGGCTTGTTTTCTGGTCAGTCTCCCCCATTAGACTGGGAGTTCTGTAAGGCAGAGATGTGTCAGCTTCATTCTGCACCTGACAGCTGCTCAAGATCCAGCTATTAAATGAATGAACCCTTCAGTGCCTGCCCCATAACTATTTCCCCATCAGATTCACAACGCAGCTGACTCCAGGTCTGCGGGGACCCACACCAGGGACTGAGCACATTCCCAAAGTTAACATTAGCCCTAGGCAACATGGCAATGTCTACAGCATTTTTAAAGCACACGCCCATTGACCCAGCAAATGTATTTCTAGGAACAGATCTTATAGATAGACCAGGGTTTTTCAACCTCACTATTGACGTTTCGGGCCAGATTACTCAAAAAGGATTATTCTTTGCTGCTAGGGCTGTTCTGTGTACTGTAGGATGTTTAGCAGCATCTCTGGACCTCCATGCGGGAGATGCCAATAGCACCACCCACACGTGACAATCAAAAATGTCCCTGGACATTGTCTGTTGTCCCCTGGGAGGCAAAATCTCCTTGGCTGAGAACCACAGGCAGTAAAGACGAGACATAGCCTAACTGTCCACCAGGAGTGGACTGGAAAATAAATCATAGGACATCCATACCATGTGTATTATTTTCCTATGGATGCTCTAACAAATTAGCACAAACTGGGAGGCTTAAATGTCACACATTTATTCTATCATAGTTCTGGAGATCAGAAGCCTGAAATTAGTATCACTGGGTCAAAATCAAGGGGTCAGTAGGGTGGTGCTGCCTCTGGAGGCTGTGGAGGAGGACCCATTGCCTTGCCTTTACAAACTTCCAGAAGCAGCCTGCTTTCCTTGGCTCATGGCCCCTTCTTCCATCTTGCTTCAGTTGTCACATTGTCTTTTGTAGTCAAATCTCACTGCCTTCCTCCTATAAGGACCCCTGTGATTACATTGGATCCACTGGGATAATCCAGGATGATCTCTCCATCTCAAAATCCTTAATCACATCCGCAAAGTCTCTTTTGTCATCTAAGACAACATATTTATAGATTCCGGAGCAGGAACTGGGTATCTTTGGGGGGCCATTCTTCAGTCCACCAAGCCATGGAATATGACATGGCCCTTAAAGAGAATGAAGCAAGATGAACATGGCATGATCTCACTTATATGTGGCATCAAAGGGTTGAACTCATAGAAAGAGAGTAGGGTGGTGGTTGCCAGGGGCCGGGGCTGGGGGAACATGGGGAGATGGAGGTCAAAGGGTGCAAGCTTTCAGTTATAAGAGGAATAAGTTCTGAAGCTCTAATATACAGCATGGTGATTATAGTTAACAATACTGTATTATATACTTGAAAGTTGCTAAGAGAGTAGATCTTAAATGTTCTCACCACACACACACAAAGATAACTATGCGTTAACTAACCTTGCTGTGGTAATCATTTCACAATATATTCATATATCACCTTAAACTTGCACAATGTTATTTGTCAATTACATTTCAATAAACCTGGAGTGGGGGGAATTTGAGGCAGCTCTACAATCATCCACATGTTCTTTCTAGGAGCAGATCTCCAGGGCCCGCTATGTGCTGCTACGGAGGCTGGGCTTAAGCAAGGAACAAAATCAAGTCACTGCCCTCAGAAGCTTGCACTGGGTAGGGCAAGATGACAATAAACAAAACAAATTAGTAAAATGCTGAGCATGTTGCACTGTCATGGACTCTCTGTCACTAAGTAAGGCATGTAAGGGATACAGGGCTGTCTAGGATTGAGGGCTTTGGTAATTGTAAGAAGAGCATCAGGAGGGCCAAACTGAGACGGGGATTTTGTTTTTTGTTTGTTTTGTTAATCTTCACCCAAGGATATTTTCTCCATTGATTTTTTAAAAAATTTTTTTAGAGAGAGTGGAAGAAAGGGGGAGAGACAGAGAGAGAGAAACACTGACGTGAGAGAGACACATCGATTGGTTGCCTCCAGCACGTGCCCCAACCAGGCCAGGGATCAGCCTGCAACCGAGGTACATGGCCCTTGATCGGAACTGAACCAGAGACCCTTCAGTCCACAGGCCGATGCTCTAACCACTGAACCAAACTGGCCAGGACGAGAAGGGGACTTTGAGTAAAGATGTGGAGTAAAAGAATAAACCATGGGACTATATGGGGGCAGAGCATTCCAGACAGAAGGAAAAGAGGGTACTGCAAGTGCAAAGGCCCTGGGGCAGAAGTGTACTAGATATGTTCAAGGATGTGTTCAAAGAATAGCAAGAAGGCCTGTGTGCCCGGAGCAGCATGAACCAGGGGAGAGAGCAGGGAGAAATGAGGACGGGGTTGGGGGGAGGGCAGGCCCACAACCTGTCAGATCTGAGTTCCCCATATCACAACTTTATTTATAGAGACACTGATGGATCACCTAAGAATAATGATGAGAGAAAAACAAGGAACAGTAGAGAGCACAGCGGATGGCAGCACATGGAGCATGACTATCTCTGTAAAGACAGTCAAGACACTGGGGCAAATAGTTGCTTCTGGGGAGGGCAACTAGATTAGGAGTCAAGAGTGAGAAGGAGACTTAATTTTCACTCTATCTCCTTTTGTACTGTGTGAATGGCTTGTTAACCAGGCGCATGTATTACCTATTCAGGAAACATTAGTACATTTAAAATATTAGCCCTTGCTCAGCTGGGCATGGCTCAGCAGTTGAGCATCGCCCTAGGATCCAGGAGATCGAGGTTCAATTCCCCATCTTCCGGGCTCGATCCCCAGTGGGGGGCGTGCAAGAGGCAGCGGATCAATGACTCTCTTATCATTGATGTTCCTATCTCTCTTTCCCTCTCTCTTCCTCTCTCTGAAATCAATAAAGATATATTTATTTTTAAAAATAAATAATAAAATAAAATATTAGCCCTTGACCCTGCTCTGGAACTTAGGGTCTCCTCCAACCGGGGTCACTAGTGGGGTCTGAGAGCTGAACTCCTCCATCCCCCTTCCTGGTCACCCTGCTGTGGCCCTCCCCCTAAATGGCACCTATTCCAGGCTCCAATAACCTCTCATTGCATTCTCACCCTGCCGCATATTTGTGTTCACTGGGCCGATCTTTGGGGGGATGGGGGTATTCTAGAAAGTGTTGGTCCTGCTCTCTACTGATGACTTTACCTCCAGTTCTGGCAGCTCTTGCCACACCCATGCTGACTGCAGCTCATGCCTGGCCCAGACACAGTTGTGACTGCATAGAGCTGAGCACAGATTTCTTCTGCGTTTCCTGCCCTACACAAGGACAAAGGCCCCTATGACACATCTTGGGATTCCCTAAGCCCAGGCCCAGCAAGTGTGAGTTCCAAGTCCAGCCCCCCCCCCCTTTTTTTGTTAACCCTCACCCCAGGATATTTTTTCCCTTGATTTTTTTTTTAGAGAGAGTGGAAGGGAGGGAGGAGAGAGGGAGGGAGGGAGGGAGGGAGGGAGGGAGGGAGGGAGGGGGAGAGAGAGAGAGAAAAGCCTCACGCATGTACCAGATCAGGGATAGAACCTGAAACCTAGGTACGTGCCCTGACCCAGAATCAACCCGTGACCCTTTGTTGGGCGGAACCAGGCTCTAACCACTGAGCCCACCAGGCCAGGGCTGTGTGCCCACCTCTCGCGCTGCGCTTTGCTCCTCTCTACCAGGCGGGCACTGGGGTTCTTTCCTAGCTCAGAGGTTGACATTCCAGG